GTGTGTGTGTGTGTGTGCTTCAATATGTATGCATTTGGCTCAAGGTCGCGCACAATTACATGAACAGGAACGCCTCCTGATTAGTGGTTCAATTGAATCTGTCCCGTCAATGACTCTTTCCTCTTGAAGGGTGGACATTATGGGCATGTGGCTTCAGTGTGTGTGTGTGTGTGTAGTTGCAGAACACGGGTAAATGTGATGTGCCCCTAGTGTTTTCCATCCTTCACGCAAACCAGCAGATTTTTAACATGACAGAAAGGGTTGCCTCATCTGTCATGCTGTCAGGCTCTGTGGCGCAAGGGAGGAAAACTCAGAGGGGAAAATGTTGGTTTCCGATAAGTTAGAATAACGAGCGCTGGATGTGCACTGAAGTGGATCTTTGATATTAATCTTGGTCTTGTTTTCCTCGCTCAGCTATTCAGAGTGTGATGTCCAGCGGTGATGCCCTGACCCCGGGGAAGACCGGAGGCGTGGGATCCGCCATCTTCAACCTCCACGATAACGGCACGCTGGATTACCAGGTGAGGCTTCGCTCAGGAAGATTAGATTGTTGTTCTGTCTGTTCTGTTCTAATTTCCCATATTTGTAGTTTATTAGCACGAAACCTGTTGTATTTATAGAGTTTAACAATGTTGAACTTTGCATGATCAGTCACTACTAGTAACAGTGTTCCCATTACTTCCAATAAAGCTCACCAGTCTTACAAAAAATGTCATGATCTCACCGTCACATAAAATTGGGTTTAAACTTACTGAACAGTAATAAAATAGTACATCAAAAAAATCTTTTTTAATGGTGATCGCAGATCAAGCACACCCACAACTAATCAATAATTAAAGATCCCCTCCAGATGTGTTCAGACCTAAAAATATTCTCTGCTTTGAATCACTGATTTTGAAAACATATTCTATGACTGGTGAAAATGTTATAATTTCATCTACTTGTCTTTTAATGAAAAATCCAGAATCTCTTTTCATGCATACTTTTAGTTTAACTACTGGATGTTGAAAAACTTACCGCTCATCGCAATGAATTTCAATAACAAGTCTTTTACGTGAAAAGGGCCTTCAACCATTTGTCTCATCTCCTTCCTTCAGGTTCAGGTTGCAGGTCTCAGCAGCGACATGGTCGGCCTCACTATCGAGCTGAAGCCGCGGCGTCGCAACAAGCGCTCTGTCATTTACGACTTGACGACGGAGTACAACAAGGCCTCGGGCCAGGCGGTGGGCAGCTGGAGTCGCCTGGAGGCGCGACACATCCACATGCTGCTGCAGAACGAGCTGTTCATCAACGTGGCCACGGCACACAGCCAGGAGGGGGAGCTGAGGGGGCAGATAAAGGCTCTGCTCTACAGCGGCCTGGAGGCACCCAGACATGGTGAGAAGGGGAGGGAGGGAGTTAGGAAATTCAACAAACACATTGAATTACTTTATGAAATCTTCCTTTGTCCTGGATCCATTCTCACGTATTCATGTCTTCCTCTTCCAGAGTTGCCCACCCCTCTGGCCGGCCACTTCGTGTCCCCACCAGTGAGAACCGGTGTCTCTGGGCACGCCTGGGTCTCAGTGGACAAACAGTGTCACCTGCATTACGAGATCGTGGTCGCGGGCCTCAGCAAGGCCGACGACCTCACCGTGAGCGCCCACCTCCACGGGCTGGCGGAGATCGGAGAGCTGGACGACAGCAGCACCACGCACAAGAGGCTGCTGACCGGCTTCTATGGATCACAGGTACATCCCTGCAAACATGGACATGAAGGAAACCATCCACATGCACAAGTGTCAGACATATTAACCCGTCCTCTCCTCTCCTCCAGGCTCAGGGAGTGTTAAAGGACATGAGTGTGGAGTTACTGCAGCACCTGGACCAGGGAACAGCCTTCATCCAAGTCAGCACCAAGCTCAACCCCCGCGGAGAAATTCGAGGACAGGTAAGAGAAACAAAACAAAGACAACCACCTTACATTCATGGACACATCAGGAGGTATACAGGGATATTGGACATGTGTTTAAACTGTGGCCCCTGATTGAAGATTTCGCTCTGTTCGCAACTCTTGTCAGTAAAGTGATGATTTAACACGGAGCATTAAAGCAGAGCAGATTATTAGACTTAAAAAAAGAAAAGCATCGTCGAGTCCTCAGGGCCCCTAAGAACCATCTCAGTGTTTGTGTGTCTGTGTGATTGCTCACGTACGTTCACGGGCCAACACAAACACACACGGTCCCTTTCACTGGCAAGTGCATTCTGCCTGGAGAGACGTTTGTTGAAAAGTAAAAATTTAACTGGGCTTCAGAAGGAAACTCACTCAGACCACGGCTTTGCAGGTGTAGCTGTTGATGAGTTCTTTGTTCAGTGGCGTCCAGCTGTTTTAATAGCAAACAGGTCGGACACATAAACAGCCATCTGCTCGGGAGCACAGCAGCGCTTCATTCTGGAACAATTAACAAGCCACAGCGTGACACCTGCCTGCGCTCAGGTGTGGCCGACAGATCTCCTAACATCTCCCTCTCATTTTTTCCCCTTTCTTTGCCTCCCTGTCGTTCACCTCCACCCGTCCCCTTCTTTCCTTTTTCCGACACCCGTGCCCTCTCCAGGTCCATGTGCCAAACAACTGTGAGTTTGGGACCAGAGGTGAGGTGGAGGAGGCTGAGTTTGACGACCTGTTCGTGAAGGACCCGGAGGAGCTGAAGAAAGACCCGCATACCTGCTTTTTTGAGAACCAGCACCACGCTCACGGCTCCCGCTGGACACCGAGCTACGACAAGTGTTTCACCTGCAGCTGCCAGGTAACAAAACACGACCGACACTAGCACGGTGTTGTTTTTGCAGATGTTAGGACTGATTATTACATTTATCTTCTTTCACAAATCAATCTCACTCCTCCTCAATGTTTTTGTGCATTTCCTTCTTCTGTAGAAGCGAACGGTGATCTGTGATCCGGTCATCTGTCCGGTGTTGACCTGCTCCAGAACCATCCAGCCTGAAGACAAGTGTTGTCCTGTCTGTGACGGTGAGAGAAACAGAGATATACTTTAGTTTTATACTTCTTTGATTTCTGTGGACATTTGATCCTTTTAGTCTCCAAGTGTCAAATGATAAAGTTTAAATCTAAAACTGTCTTCTGTTTCCATTTCCTCTGTCTGTGTGTGCAGAGAGGAAGGACCCCAAGGACATGAAAGCTGTGGAGAGAGTGGAGGAGCATCCTGAAGGTATGCACCACCTCTCCTCTTTTGTAGTTTCTCTCTTTTATTGTGTCTTTTTATGCTCCACTGAATTTCTGCCGACAGTTAAAGGTTAACTCTGAATAACTTTTCTCGCTAACCTCCTCTCCTCCTCTCCCAGGTTGTTACTTTGAAGGAGACCAGAAGATGCATGCCCCAGGAACCACATGGCATCCCTTTGTTCCTCCCTTTGGCTACATTAAATGTGCTGTCTGCACTTGCAAGGTAAACACACATCAACAAACCCACTCACATCTGGCTGGATTTACTTTCCAAAAGCCCTTAATGGATCGTTTATTTTTTGCACTGAACTCCAAAGAAAATGAGGCAGAAGTAAATTTCTCGTCATTTCTTTCTCGAGGAATGATCAGATAGTTGGACTTTGTTTGAAAAAAAAGAAAAAACAATGAGTCCGATTCAAAAGAGCTGAAGTTAATCTGCTGACGATGCTGCTTTTTTTTTTCTCCCAGGGATCTACAGGGGAGGTGCACTGTGAGAAGGTGACGTGTCCCGTGCTGACCTGCAGTCACCCCGTGAGACGCAACCCGTCTGACTGCTGTAAAGAGTGTCCAGAGGAGGATAGGACGCCTGCGGGGCTGGAGCACAGCGACATGATGCAAGCAGACGGCCCGAGGCACTGCAAATTTGGCAAGAGCTATTACCAGAACAGCGACAACTGGCATCCCTGGGTACCGCTGGTGGGCGAGATGAAGTGCATCAACTGCTGGTGTGACGTAAGTACACGCTGGCTTCCAAGAGGTGGAAGGATTGTAGGCTACCTGGAATTTGCAGACGTAAAAATCAATTTGTTAATCATGTCAATTGCTTGAAATTTGCTCATTAGAACCCAAAAGAACATTTTACTTTGATAGAGTTCACACTGAGTTCTTTACACATACCATCAGAAACGTGATCCCACAATGAAACCAGGACTTTGTGTGAATGTGTGAATCATTTTTGAGTTTTATCTAAAATAGAATTTTAAGTAACAAAGATATTTGCATCACTTTTAAGTTTCCACACGGAACTGTTATAATCGTAGTTAAGGCGTCTTTGGATTCGCATGTTTATCTTCTTTGAACAGTAGCGTCAAATCTCACTGCACCATCGCATGCATTCGGTCAGCAGACTGTAGCCACACGCTCCACTTGTTGTTGTTAAGATTGTTATTTTATGTTATTTAATGATAGTTGGCAAACAGCTTTGCGGTGGATTACTGCCTTATCTTTTTATTGAAATAGAATCAAATCAAAATGTGAAACAACAGAAAAAGCAGAATTCAATGAACCATAGTTTCCCAACTTAAAAGTTTAAGATCAAATAACGTAAACGTAATCATGCAGGCTAACAAACATTGTCGCCTGTACCTCACATTCTGACACAGTCCTGTCCTGGTATCTGGAGTTTCTCACCATCTCACACCTCGATGTTCACCTTCTTCTCCACAGCACGGTGTCACCAAGTGTCAGCGGAAGCAGTGTCCAGTGCTGACCTGCTCCAACATCACCCGCAGGGAGGGCTCATGCTGTCCTGAATGTGCTGGTGAGCCATGAACACAAACACACATAAAACACGATACTTCTGCCAACAGTGACCTTTATTTGTTTATTAAAAGTTATTAAAAGTAGTTTCAAACGTTGTGTCTTACATATGCTCTTGTTTTCGCCTCAGATTCCAAAGAGGAGGAAGATCTGATGATGAAAGTTCCAGACAAAAGACGAACCACGAGACACTGATCCGTGGGGGAGACCAAAGAAAAGAAAACCCTGAATCTGTAACTTTTACCCGTCGGAGCCCCCTCGTCCCAGATGGACACACACCCACAGCCATGCTGGGCCTCCCCCCTCCTCACCTCACACCCACCCAGTTATCAGCTTCAGGATTGTAATGGACAGAAGCAGAGACGGAGGAACGATCAAATGAAACAAGGACTCATTAATGAAGCTATGAAGAGGACCAACCAGACTTTATAAACCTGCTGCTGCCTTCTGCTTCCCGCCTTAACGTTTCCTGCAGGAACTTCTTTTTTTCTCTTCCTCGGTTTTTTTTTCAAAGAATCTCAACAGGACAAAATGTGTAGATGTAGATGTGTAGCAGAGTTCCATGGGACTGTTTTACTGTTGACTTTTAAAATGGGAAAGACTGTGTGACACGTGTTTCATTGACAGGGCTTCTTTTTGAAGTGCAGAACAGGATGAATGTGTGCGAGTGTGTGTGTGTGTGTGTGTGTGTGTGTGTGTGTGTTTACCAGTATAAGATAGGACTAATCAGCGATATAGAAACTGTAACAGGAAGAAGGTGGAGTTCAGAAACAAATGAACTTATCTCTACGGTCGGTCTACAACTTTCATTAGTTGTAAAAACATATTTTGACTCTTCATCACTTGTGTCGGCGCCAGGAGGGAAGAGACGGAAACTTTCTCGGCTGCCGTTTTCGGTGCAACACTTTTCAGTCTTCGCCGCCCGTTGAACTCGTCGCTCCTCTGCTTTGATCGTTCAAAATAATTAATTAGTATGGATTTTTTTTATCATTGTTGTTTATGAATATGAAGCTGGTTTGTACTTTGTATTTATTGAATGGTGTGGAGACTAAATAAAAAAAAAAAGTTTGTTGGTCTAAAAAAAAAAAGAAAGAGAGGAATGCCTGTGGGATTTTATTTTGGATGCTGTCACTAACCACCTCTAATAACCCCTCCCTCCTTCCCTCTTTGCATTTCTATCTTCCTTTTTCATCTGGACTCTTTGGGATTTTAGTTTTCCACTTTGTAGCTCTCCGTCTCTCTGTTTTTCCCTCTCTGTTCCTCTTTCCTCACAGTTTTTCACATATGGAGCTGTGATTATCAGGGGATGAAGAGCCAGATTGACTCGACTTAATCCTTTGTTTGTAGTTTCTGTTTCTCCATTGTTCTCCCTCTCTGCCTCTTTACACCCTTTATTGATTCCCTTCATCTTTTTTCACACTTTTTTCTTTTCATCTGTAATTTTTCTCCTCTTGTACTTTATGTATTTCCTTGTTATTTATAGTTTCTCCTCTGATCTTTTCTTTTCACACCATATTTTCCTTTTTATTTCATTCAGTTTCTTTTTCTTCTTTTTCCTTTGCTTTCATGTCTCACGTTCCTTTTCTTCCCCTCCCTTTTCTTTATATCTTTTCCATTCCAATTATTTTTCTTTCCTTCTCAATCCGTTCACTCTTTCCTTTGCCCTCTTGCTTTGCTCCCAAGTCACCACATGTGCTCTGTAATGTTGTGTCCTGAACCAGTTCTACTGCAGACGGACTGAAGCATAAACACACGTTCACAGATGTACACATGTGAAAACTCCTGAATCAGGAACACACACATTAAAACAGAGCGAGAATTCTTTCCAATACACACACACACACACACACACATGCACACAAACTTGTACTTCTGTATTTCTGAAGACACATTCACTATCTTCTTTGACCATCTCAACTAAATGCCTCACTGTGACCTTAAGGTTGATTTAAACCTAATTCTAACCCTCATATCAGAATCATGGGAGTACAAGACATTTGCTGAGGTCTGTCTGTATTAGTCTGGGAATAGGAAACAGTATATATATATATAAGTTCAAACAAAGTCTCACACTAAACAAACTGCCCTTTGAAAATGTGAGGAGGGGCCAACATGTCCTCACCTCAGAATGGTTCTCACGTAAGAAATAAATTCATGTGGCGCTTATTCTATTTCACACCATTCACGAAGCCATCAGAGGTAGTTTGGGGTTCAGTGTCTTGCCCAGGCACACTTCAGAATGCAGACCGGAGGAGACGTTCTGGTTAATGGACGTCCCGCTCTATCTCCTGAGCCACCGCCGCCCACAAGTACACACACACACACACACACAGACTCTATAACACAAATGTTATTACATTAGCTGTGAGGGCATTCATTGACATTATGCATTCCCTTGCATCTTAACCCAGCCATCCCAAACTAAACCCAATGTCTAAACCTAAGATTAACCTACTTCGAGCCTGAACCTTTGAACTGAGTCATTCACACGAAACAGCTCTTCACGTGTCCTTACTTTCCCAAAATGTCCTCACAATTATCAAACCAGAAGTTGTCCACATAACCATTACAAAGACATGTACACACACACATACACACACACACAGAGAGCGAAAGAGAGAGAGACTGCCCTCCCCTGGGATAAACCCAGCACTACACCAAAGGTGCCCGTGGCGCTCACTGCACATGTTGACTTCTCTCAGGCACAGACCAGAGAATAACTTCCCACTCCAGACCTGTACCAGCCCTTCGTCCTCACTGAAGACATATTGGAATCATCAGACAGCAGGTAGAGGTGCAGGGGGTTGTCGAAGCTGGAGGGTGGAGGTCAAAGGTTAAGTGTTCTGTGCTATGGCCTGTGAAGAAGCATGAGATGTGTACCAGCTTGAGCCCTGCACCTGCACATATTTGTGTGTGTGTGTGTGTGTGTGGCCTGTAATTTGAACAGCACACTGATGGATGCAGCTCAGCTAACGTGATTTTTCCCAAACAGCCAGGAACTACTTCAGCTCCACTCTGAACGTTTGACACCCGTTAAGACTCTTGCTATGGATTTCTCACAGTGTGTTTATCAAATTATCAAAACACGGAAGAGAAGCCAGAAATATCCGAATATATCAAAGAGCAGAAACGAACACGCTGCTCCTTCCATGACTTCTTCTGCTTCTTGTTTGTGTCTCTCACTGACACCTCCGCAGATGTTTGTTTAGTCTGTTGCTGATGTGAAACATTTGAGCAGCGCTGCACAGTGATGAGCTGTTCAGCTTATTTATTACTAGAAGAGAATTAAAATCAGAGCCACATGCAATAAACTGGACTCTAGTCGTCTTTGTTCTTTGTTGTTGAAGAAAACCACCACACTGTTTCACTTAACACGTCTGTGCTGCCGGTTTGTTTTCGTTCCTTTCATTCGAATTTAATTTTCACGCTTTGTCTTAAATCCTTTAATTAATTATTCAATCATTCTTTCATTGCAGAGGCACAGGAAGTACTTCCAGAATTATTTTTTGGCTCTAAATCCTGAATAATGAAGGTCAGTCACAAACATCCTGAAACCAGTTCACACACTGCTAGCTTATTAGCTTCGTCACCAGTGCGCAATGAATCCTGGGATAGGTTGGCCTGAGATCACTTGTTGGATCCTTCACTGCTCCACTTTGGTGAACTTTGACCCATGATATCCGCTTCCCATCCACGTATGTGTGACTGTGGCCTTACACTTCCTGTCCTGGCAGTTCCTGGTTACTATTACACACCTGTCACCTGATTAGCTTCCTGTCCCTGCACATTTCCACCGAGAGACCCCTTTAAATACCTTTTTTTGCCCGTTTCTGATTCCGTTTTAAAAACTGAAATATAATTGGTTAAAATACTGAAAATTGATATTAATGATTAATTCATGATCAGGACTGATGTTGTTTACTCTTTAAAAGTGAAACTTATAGTGATGTTATAGTTTTAGAGACGGGACATTTATGTCTACAAAGTTTGTGAAAGGACATTTTTTATTCACTCAGACCTCAAGGTTTAAAGACGTTTATCCTTAACCCTGGTGTCCTGTGTGTCCTCTTCTCTTGAGTCTGATTACTCTGCCACTGTCACAAAACTTTGAAATTAAGAGTTAACCTTCAGATAGTTAGAACAACTAATGAGGATGAGCCAAAATCTCAAAACATAAAATGTCCTCAGGATCTAAAAACACACACGGTTTTCTGGTTAAAGGTATTTCATTTATTTGATGTTAAAGGCCATTAGCCTGGAAACCAGACCAATCAGCGAGCTCATCTTTATTCACTCTTGCAAACGGCTCTGGCTCTGACAGACCCATTTGTCAAAGCAGACAGGTCGGGCCAATCACAATCATTTATCTGAAGTGGGGCGGGTTTGTTCAAATGAATGTCAAAAGAAGCATTTTCGTTAACAACCAACATGGCTGCTTCATATGTGAAGCATCGTCTCAATATGAAAATCGTCATCATGACTCTTTAACAGTGAAGCCAAAGTATCCTCAGTCTACTGCATAAATCCTGCCTCCTCTATGTTAGTGGATGGGACAAGGACAAAACTAAAAAGTATACGTCAAATACATTTTCCTCAAAGATGGTGTGAATTTGTCTCATAGGTTTGGACTCATGATGAGTGGACAATGTTCTTTGGGTCACGTTAAAAGTTAAGATTCGACATAAGAAAATGTTTGAACCCCAATCTTATATTCGAACCTGCAATCTACATTTATTGTGCGTAGTTTGATGAACATTTGACCTGATGTAACATATTTTCATTCATCATTTTCATCAGGTTTGAAGTTTAAAAGTAGAAAGACTTGTCCATGGGTTGGTTTGTGATAATGCAGCGGAACAGTGGAGTCAATTAAGCTGGTTTAAAGTTACGGGTGTTGATCATTTGCTAATATGTGTGTAATTTACTGAATAATTGAGCCCTCAGTTTATTAAAGTGTAAAACAAGTGTGAACTCAGAGAAAGAGACAAAAAGTTTGTGTGTGTGTGACACACACACACCACAATACATATTCAAACTATCATAACCTCTAATAGTGTGATAATAATATCATGGATATAATTACATTTCCAGTGTTATCATTTTGTGGAAATATATTAATCACACTACTGATAAAAAATATCTTTAATTACCCACATATTTATTTTTTCATTTAGCTGTGACCAGTGTGACACGTCCTCTTCCCTGGGTCCATAGAGAATGAATTTTCTGTTGGATGGACTCTGCCTTGTTTTTCTAGTTTTTTCTGTTTTATTTTGAAAGTAACATATAACATCATATATATAATACAACAGTGCGGTAAGAATGACCACACGGTATTTGAGGGAAATAAGATAAATGATTATGTTGAACATTTCATCCATGGACTTATGTGTAGTTCGTTTTAACGCCTGTACCTTGTTAAAGCTTTTACTCGAGAAAAAAACAGCTTGGCTGCATTAGATCTTAACCACAAGTTTCATTTAATTTTCCTTGAAGTGGCTTCAAGTTTGTCGGATGATTGTATTCCACACTGTTTCCTGGTTTGTTATACACCCAGTGTTTATAATCACTATAATTTAAAAGTGGGCTTTAATCAATTTGGCTGCACTGCTTGAGTTCGTGTAATGACTGAACTGATTTTTAATTACTTTATCTAAAATAAACTGTATTTTTGAAGAATGTGTTAGACATTGATCCATCAAAGGGGTCCTTCTTAGATGACATCAGAGAGGGAGAGTTGAGATAATATTGATGAGACATCAATGTTTTATCACTGCTGCCCTCTGCTGTGAGAAGCTGAACCGACATTTTAAATAGCTGTATTGAAATGTGGATTTACAATGTTTAACCGACCATATATATACACACGAGCCCCACGCAGCCTCATAAAATGGTTCTTTAGGTTTGTAGCACCGGAGCAGCAGCAGCAGCCTTTATGGCTCCATAAAGAAAGTTCAGAACAACTGTCTCTCTGCTGCTGGCTATTATATTGATTTTTTTTTGTGATATTTTAACCACTGGATCTTAGTGGAGCTGCTGCAGGGTAAATGCCATGCTCAAGGGCAAAGTGGCAGCAGTT